AACGGAAGGGCCTATGTTAGACGTAGCCCACAAAGATCCTATCCTACAAAGCGGTCCTCGGTTTGAAAACGGCACGCAAAGCACCACACAAAAGCAAACAATTATACTTACTATCATCTTCACCCGAATATAACGCCCCGCCATTATAGCTGTATTTGGGGCACTTTTCAGTCCAGGTGCAGCAGTAATGACCGGGTGTTCTATTCGGGTGAAGACGGTAGCTTGTATCAGGTTCCGAGTTCAAACCCTGACAAGAACCACATAGCAAACAACGTAGAATCATGCACCCGAGTTCAAACCCTGACAAGAACCACATAGCAAACAACTTAGAATCATGCACCCAAAACGTGGGGCACTGGACGGGCATAGATCCCGCTGCATCAACACGGGCTTCTGCTGGCCATCACACATCTGGTAGCCTTCAGCAGCTCCCACCTGCGTCAAGTTTTTCTTTGTCCTGATACGCTGAAGAAAGCGGAAAATTAACTTTTAAGTAGAAAGAACCGACCGTCGATCGAGTGTGCAAGATTGCGGGTAGGTGGAGCAAGGAAGCAAGAAAGCAGTTTGTCGAGAGGCAATTCACTCTTGGCTTTTGGGTAGAACCGAGAGTAATACGTTTGTGGAACATTCATCGAAATGTGGCCAGGAACCAACCCTCAAACAGAACCCGGCAAAAGACATACCACACTCATGACATGCATTTTCCATTTCTTTGTCTTTTGTGTAAGAGTTTTAAACAATGTCCGTAGTATGTTGTGGGAGTATTCAGAGAGCGTGGCTGAAACGCCTTCAAACGGTCCCCTGCAAAACCGATACCATACTCCTGAGAGGCATTACATACTTTTCCCTTTCTGTCGAAATGAGACGTGTGCCAAGCTTCAAAGCTTTTTTTCTGTTGTTCTTCTCTTTTCTTCTTTTTGTGTGTCCTGTGTGTGTGTGTGTGTGTGTGTGTGTGTGTGTGTGTGTGTGTGTGTGTGTGTGTGTGTGTGTGTGTGTGTGTGTGTGTAACGTTACGTCATGCTGTGAAACATCATGTCGAAGCGTGGTACAGAACCCATACCACGATCAAGCCCCGATATAGTATTTCGGCGTAACCCCCATATTACTTGTCAAGCGGACACAGGGTTTTCTCAAGCCATTCTGATCCGAATACAGGAGGAATCCGTTCGGGAACCCCGGGGCGGTATTTTCCGGTACTTCTGCACTCAATCTTTCGACCAAGAGGCGCTACCCAAGCGGTGTTTCGAATATAAGAAAAAAGAATAAAAAGGCATATTCACTCAATGCGGAATCTATTCAGAATAAGGATTGAAAGATCCTGATAGCTGCTGATATCTATAGAGAACCGCAGTTGCGATCCTTAACAGTACTTCGAGACCCTTGATACTAGTCGTGAGAACTGAGACTGGTGCCGAGTGAGGAAGATTCATAGCTGTATTTCCTGGTCTGCGCAAATGGGTTAGGATCGGATTATGTAAATCRGCCATCCAATCRGGTAGTTTCTCAGGCTTTGTCGAGAAAAGGAGARAAAAGAAAGGAGAAAAAARAAMCAGAAAAAGCAAGAGAAAAAAGGAAATTGCTCATATGCGTGAAAATCAGGGGCAGATCTTGGATGCCTAGGTACCTTAGGTTCCTAATCTTCGTAGTACCTCGAAAGGGGCTTCAAAAAGAAATATATGACCTATCGTTGGTGTAAAGTACACTTGAACACGAATCGATGGCTTATTTTACGTATGCGATCAATTATTACGAGAACTCAAGCATGCAGGCAAGATTGGTCATAAATATGGACATCTCATAGGTCATCTATTGTGGTAGTAGCTAGTAATACAACGCATGCAGAAACAAGCAAGGGAATCTCTGCCCTATCTACTGTAGACCCTTCGATCAGCCGTTGCACAGAATAGGACCTTATCCTTGATCGCATTTCCTGAGCCGGTGTGGTTGATCGAACGGTGGTAGTACCAACCCTCAAGCTCGGCCCTTTGGTCAGCAGAGTGGTGTTACAACCGTTCGTGACCATCTCCCAGAAGGGATCTGAGCAAAGATGGGTCTTAAAAAAGCGAAATTCCGGATGCGCATAAAGAAACCATACATGCTATTGCAACGAGATATGCAAACCATGCGTTCGAAAACCATGTATTGAGAAGAAATCTTCTGTATTTTTACGAACGGCGGTAGTACCACACATCGTGCCCGACCTTACGGTCAGTCGAGTGGTGTTACAGCCGTTGGTGACCAGCTACCAAAAAGGGATCAGAGCAAATATAGATCTCAGGAGAGGCGAAATTCCATGTGTGCAAAAAAAACCATACATGCTATTACGAGTAGACATGAAATCCACACAAATATAGAGAGGTCATTGAATTTGGTTAAACGAACGGCGGTAGTACCATCCATCGTGCTTGACCCCATGGTCCGCCGAGTGGTGTTACAATCGTTCGTGACCAGCTGGAGCGAAGATAGA